TACACACAGAGATCTTTTTTCCTAAAGCTAATAAGAAATCAGAGATTTGTTTTAAGCAGATAAACTATGTAAGCAGCTTTCTATTTGAATAAGGTAACTGAACAGTGTGAAGGATAGATTAGGTGAACAATTTTCATTTCCAATAATGGCACCTGGGTCATTCAGTCCAACACTCAGGCCAAAACTCAGAATGATAGATACATGTTTTTAAACCACCCTAAAGCATCTAGCAAGGAATTGCTAGGCAAAAATTGAGGGTAAAGCTGGAACACAGAGTGGTAACCAGAAATGACTTCTGATCTGAAAAGACTGGACTCTGGCTTTTTGGCCTCAGTAGAAGAGTGAAATTAAAGCACAGGCCGGCCTAAGCCAGTAGAGAGGAGCGTCTCGCATTAACATGGAACCCCAAATGCAAAACTTTCATTGCAGGGCTGAGTTCGAAGTAAACTGGTCTTTGCGTGGATTTGCTATCAACATTCGTGTCACTTGCTTGGTTAAGGAAACTCAAGCCACTCATTAAGTTTAAAGAAGTCCTGGCATGTGATCACCACCATAGACGCTGAAAGCACTGGACCAAATTTAATAACCAGTCTTAATTAAAAAAAAAAAGGAATTGATCAGTACTTCTTCAATATGATTTTTATTTAATATTATAATCACGACATCAATGGAAAAGCACCAGCTGTAGCTTTGCTAAACTCAGAAACAAGACAGACTTTCCAAGGGTCATCAATTGTAGTTAACATTACATTAAAGTGTATTGGGCAAGAGGATGACATTAGGAAGCATATGAATTGAAAAGGGAGAGGAAAAAACTGTATTTTCATGTGATATGACTATTTATCTGGAAAACCTAAGCAAATCAACCAATAAATTACTGTAAAACAATATGAGAATTTCAGATTTCAGTAAGGGAGCAGAAATAACAATTAAAATACAGAAATCATTAGTCTTCATACACATTAAATAAAACCAGTTAAACAATATAATGGAAAAAAAGAAATCATTTTCAAAAGCAATAAAAAGTTAGAATACCAAGAAGTAACAAGGAATGTGTAAAGCCTATTTGAGTAAAATCTGAAAACATTTCTGAAGGACACACAAGTAGATTTGCACCAAAAGAAAGGTATGTTGCTATTTTGGACGGGAAAGAAAATCACCAACATAAATATATCAACTTACACTAAGTTAAAATATAAAGTTTATGAGCCCAACAAAAATCCCAACAGTATTTCCTCTGGAACTAGTTAAGCGGATTTAAGAGGTCATAAGAACAAATAAATAATTAAAAATAGAAAAATCATGAAAAAGAAAAGCAATGAAAGGATATCAGCCTGAGCAGACAGTAAAGGTCCTGTGAAGTCTCAATCATTAAAACAATGCAGTGGTTGGTGTATGAATAGACAGCAGGTGCTTATAAACTGGAAAGGAAGAAGTAGAACCATTTCTACTTGCATTTGTTACAACCGTATATAGACCATAAAAGCTTTGTTTTACTCGCCAACAACAATTAGGAAAGTTTCTATTTCTCCGCATTCTTGCTGACACAGCCTCGTGTCAAACTTTTGCAAGTTTGCCAAATGAGAAATGACATTTCAGTGTAGTGTTAAATCCATCTTTCCTTATTATGAGTGAGGCTGAAATCTTTTGGGGGGGGTAATTAGGTTTATTTATTTACTTATTTAATGGAGGTACTGGATCCTGGGTACCCTTGAACCCAGGACCTCAGGCATGCTAGGCACGTCCTCCACCACTGGGCTGTACCCTCCCCTGGAGGCTGAAATCTTTTATGGGCCATTTTTATTACTTTATGGGAACTTTTCATGTCCATATTCACGCTGGACTCCTGATTTATAAGAGCTCTTTATATATTGGCAGATTAGCCTTTTAAAATATGATCTGCAAACTTTTCTCCCAGTTTATGAGTTATCTTTGATTTTGTCTGGTTTCGTCCAGTTTTTTGCCATGGACAAGTGTGTATGTTTGTGCGCATGTGTGTGTTTTAATATAATTGATTTTCTCCATCTTAATGAATGGCTTTTGAGATCTGAGCCATAAGTAAGACTTGACTCCAAATTTAAATAGGAATTCACCATATTTTCTTCCATTATCTGTATATCATATATTACACCTTCATCTGTTTGGAATTGTCTGTGGTGTTTCACATGAAGTATGGATTCAACTTTATCTTTTGCCTAAATCAAGTTGTCTCATACTATAATATCCATAGTATATTTTATATATATATCCTCAATGATGTGATATGCCATCCATCATAAAACAGATTTCCATCTAGTCATACACAAACTTTGCTAAGGGAAGAGGGAGCTGATAATATCTTTCAAAATTATAAAGTCATTTCTACTCTTATCTAGCAATCCCATCTCTGGTAATCTGTTCTGTTGATCCATCTGCCCCGTATATGAAATGACATATATAAGATTTTATTCACTGTGACATTATTTATAATAGCAAAAATAGCAGAGGTGATGGACAGAAGTAAAGATATCCATGAGATATTTCTGATCATAGATTTAATGGGACTTAATGATGGATTAGGGGAGGGGAGCTGAGAGGAAGGAAAAACAGCTTTTAAACTTCCTCCTTGAGGACTAAGGTATAAAGTAGTGTCACTTAGTGAAATACAGGACCCTAAAAGAAAAGTGACATTGTTTGGGAAGATAATTAATGCTGTGTTACACATCATAGTAGGTAGAGAGATAGTTCAATGAAGACATCCAAATGAGCAAAATAAATTTAGTATTTCTAGGCACTTGTATGATACTTAAAGGAACGTGCCTGGAATAGGGAGTCTGATTCTGAGTGGTCAGAAAGGTCAAAAGGACAGGGGAGTGAATTTCAAGAATAAAGCCTCCATCTATAAGGTGGAACTGGATAAGGAATGGCTGGATTCAGCCATGGAACTCCCTGATGACCTTAGAGAGAATGTAGCTTCATTAGGTACTTAGGCAGAAGCCAGAGTTCAAGCGGTTGCCTCATGTGCAGGGCGAGGCAGCATGAGGAAGTTGGAAGACGCTGATTCATGGAAAGGTGAAGGATTACTTGGGTGCACAGGGAGGAGGAAATACAGTGGGTGTCCCCTAAGTCATTCTTAGTAATGTTTCTTCTCTCCTTCACCCGCCTGTCACACATGAGGCTCACACAACAACAGTGAGGCTGGCAGGGCTTTGCACAGATACACACAAGAGCATCTGAACAGCTTGAGACGCTCACGCCCAGCCTTCCAGCCAGAATGTAGCAGAACGAGGGGAGCAGCCATCACTCTTCTTCTCTCCACCCCATTTCTGGCCTAGCCAGCTTTGGTGCTAAGGGAGGCCAAGGAATGAGGATCATTCATCTTTAGTTTATTCCCTTACATCTGCTTTCTTCCAGAGGGATCTGAGAAGACACAGAAAGTCTGTGTGCAAGACATCAGAGCAATGCTATCTCTTGCCTGCGTGGCGGACTACCCATGCCTAACCATGCCTCCTCCTTCAAAGCCCGTTGCCAACGGTGTAAAGAGAAGTGTCAACTTTATTAGGAACCTAACCAAAATCCATTCCTTTGTCATCAAGGACATATTCTGTGACCATTGTCTATTCCATTCTTGATTTCCTCAACTATAAAATGTTAACTGCTGGGCACCTGGCCCTTTCTGTTATTCATATGTCCCTGGAATTTAGTTAAGGGTTGGCAGTCCAAGGAGTTCCTTGGGAAAGACATTCTAATAATGGTAACAATACAATTTCATTTACTTAAAAATTTCAGGAATTCGCTGGGGGGAGGTAAAAAAAGAGAGAGAGCAGTGGCACAGTAAGGGAAATGACCCGGCTAGTTCACGCCGCCGGTTCCACCACCGCCAGGAGAAACCTTCCCGCTGTCTGTTGTCCAGGTTCGTCCCCTTGTCCTTCAGGATTGTCTGGAGCCCTAACGCCTGCAACTCAACGTGAAGGGACACTACCGACTTCGCACAATTTTGCACTTGGTCTATTTAACTCTTCTTCCAGGAGACCCAGGGGTCCAGTTTGGGGAATCTCTGATCCCAAACTCTCCCTGGGGCAGCTTCCCCGCACTGGATTCCTGTGCCTCGCGCCCCCCACCCCACCAAAGAGATCCCAGTCTTTTCTGCCAGGGAGGGGGGCTGTCGCTTCCAAATAAGGCCACCCCATTCGCTCCCAGCTTTGGGTAGGTGGGGTCGCTGATACTGTGTTCTTTCACGCGGGAAAGAAACTAGAGCTGGAGGGCGGGGGCCGGAAGGGGCGGGGGGTGAGGGAGCAGAAGAATCCAGCTGCCTCCCGGGTGAGAGAGCGGAAGGACCAGTTCCCCAAAGACTGAGGGCAAGGAAACCTCCTCACGTGCTGACCAACAATGGAAACCGATACGAGGGATCACCTAGGGCCGAGCCATCTACCAACTTTAGGTCCCCTCCTCCCCTCAACACACACTAAGATCGATCACCCGAAGGGCGCCTAGTCTTCTCTTTCACCCAACGACCTGTGCTTTCGGTCCCGTCCGCGCAGCGGCTCCCCTTTTCCACGCTCTGAACCCCAAATCGAGGCCGGCTGGACTGCCCTGCCCGAGGAGGTGCGCGAGGCGCCGGAGCAGCGCGCGTCCCGGCTCGTACCCAGAGGCCACGGTTTTGGAAGGGCGTTTGCAGCCGCTGCCTCCGTCTCATTTGCCTGCGCTGACTGTATCTACCGGAGACACCCTCCTCCTCCCCAGCCGGATCGCGACGCCCAGGTCGCCCTCTTTCTGTCTGCCCTCCCCCACCCCAGTCAACGGCATTTTCTTCAGCCAGCCCCAGGCCCACGAACCCCCGCTTTGCCCGCCACCCTCGCCGGACCCCTGGTCCCAGTCTCCCCTCCCTCCCCCATCGGTCGGTGACCCCTCTCGGGAGCCGGGGGCCGGGCAGCCACTCACCGCGAGGGTCAGCAGGAGTTGCCGGCAGAGGGCTCCGCCTGGGAAGCCGGCGTGCCCCGCTGCCGCCATGGGAGG